CACTGTATCGAACCGTTGTGGTGAAGAGGGAGCTGAACCGAAAGGCAAAGCTCTCAATTTACCATCAGTCTTTGCTCCTACCCTTATCTATGGTCATGAGCTCTGGGTAATGACTGAAAGGACGAGATCGTGGATACAAGCGGTCGAAATGAGTTTCCTCCGCAGGGCGGCTGGGCGTTCCCTTAGAGATAGGTTGAGGAGCTCAGTCACACAGGAGGAGTTCAGAGTAGAGCCACTGCTTCTCCACGTTGAGAGGAGCCAGTTGAGGTGGCTCTGGCAGCTGGGCGTTTTCCTCGGGAGGATTTCAGGCATGGATGCCCTGGGGAAGACCCACGCTGAAGGGACTATGTCTCTCAGCTGGCCTGCGAACGCCTCAGAGCTCCCCCCGGATGAGCTGGAGGAAGTGTCTGGGGTGAAGGAAGTCTGAGAATCTCTGCTTAGACTGCTGCCCTGCGACCCGACCCCAGGTAAGCAGAAGAAAATGGATGGATGGACAATCTCCAAACTCATAATTGAGTTGAAACGATTTACGTGCTGGCAAAAGTGAGGACCAGGGCGTGATGACCGTAGTTTTGCAAGGATTCACGTGGTGCACCCGCAAGCACTTGGAGCCCTATGCTCTGTGCGTAATGTGTGTAATGGGTAGCTACAGTACCGATTATATCCATAAACTCAGAGAAGCGCGGATCGCAGCAGGACGCATATCTGTCACACTATTTAATAGACATTTCTGGAAACATTTATGGTTTTCTATGCCCTATTTCACATTTAAACCATATTTTATTCATCACAAAACTGCTCTGAAAGGTACGTAATTGTAGCTTATATTTATTTTCAATTTGAAAGTTTCACATAAATTGCTGAATAAATGCACAGTGTAACTAAAACATAATTGTTTAAATAATTGTGATTTCAATATTGACCAAAATAATCATGATAATTTTTTTTTTTTTATATAATCGAGCAGCCCTATTATGAAGCACTTTTAAATCTTAATTCTTCATATTATAGCAGTACCAAAGGCTTTCCCAAGGTTTTAAAAGGACAACGTAGCATATTCACAATTTTGTAAGCCTCTACAAAATATGGCAATAAACACTGAACAGTGAGATGCACATCGTGAAAATATTGTATCAAGGGACTTTGATATCTTTACAACCCTAGCTGACAGAACTGAATTTTTCTTTTGTTATGGATCACACCTGACAGCTGAGGGATTACACAGAAACATTCTCCATGGAGATGATGTTTAAAAAGTTTCAGAAACAGATCTGAAATTAAATGATAGGTCCTGTGGTCATTAGTTAGAGATCTGCATCTCCATAAATTACGATGCATAGACGCATTTATTCAGAAAATCTATGGGAAAAAATAAGAAGAAATGTACTTAAAGGAACCAGGGACATGCAGTCACTGTTGAGTTCCATAAACAAAGACAGTTAAAGATGGAACAAGACACAAGACAAGATGAGATTTCAGAAGTAAACTGTCCAGGTTACAGATCTGACCTCAACATTTTTGATTGACTTTATGGAATATATTTCTCACATTGTTGCTCTGCTTTTTGTATCTGCAGCTTCTCAAAAGTGACTCACCAAAACTCAACCCTGTTTAGTCTAACCCAAATGTACAAACACGGAAAAAAGGTAATGCCACATTTTGTTATCTGGTAAAAATGTCTAACAAACACAATTTACAATAGGAGAAAAAAAAAATGGAGCGTGTTTCAGGGGGACACATCCAGGTGTGACGCCGCAGCCAACGGGAAGCGCATTCCAGAGCCGTGATGATGCGCTTCCTGCCGGGCCGCCTGGACACGCCGCGACCGCAATTACGACGCCACATCAAAGGGCTGGCGGCAGACGCGACGATCTGCCCCGAGGCAATGGAGGGAGGGATGGAGGGAGGAGGGGAGGATGAGGGAGAAGGGATGGAGGGAGAGGAGGAGAGAGATAAGCCAAAACACGCACAACTACAGACCCGCTGCTGGGTAATGCTGGACGTAAAAATCAATATTAGAATGGACTCAATTAGTGAATCACAAAGGGGGCAGGTTTTGAAGTTCCATAATTTCCTCCACAAACGACAAAACCTCCGTCTGTCTTATTCTGTGTAAAAACCACTCACCCTGTAGTTTAGATCTGTACAAACACGTCCTGATCGGATCTGTCTGCGTTAAAAGGCACTGATTCAAAGTCTCCATTGTTTAGAATTGAGATCAAAAGCCATATTTACTTCAAACGGACAAAAATGAATTGAAAATCATGGATTGATCAATATACGAAAGAAATTGTGTTGATACATTATTTAGTAGAAGCAGTAGTAGTAGTAGTAGTAACTGTATTAGTATTAGCAGTGGCTGTACAGTCCTTATTGTCTAGACTTGCACTTTAGTTATATCCATAAAGTAGTAGTAGGACGTAGTACTAGCTGTAGCAGTAGCAGTACTAGTAGCAAGTAATAGCAGTAGTAGCAGCAGCTGGTAGCAGAAATATAGTAGAAGTAATATTAGCAATCGCAGTCGTAGTAGTATTAGCAGTCACAGTAATAGCAGTAGTAGCAGTAGTAGTAGAAGCAGTAGTAGTAGTAGTAGTAGTAGTAGTAACAGTAGTAGTAGTAATATTAGCAGTCACAGTAATAGCAGTAGCATCAGTAGCACTACTAGTAGTAGTAGTAACAGTAGTAGTAGTAGTAGTAATATTAGCAGTCACAGTGATAGCAGTAGCATCAGTAGCATCAGTAGTACTAGTGGTAGTAGTAACAGTAGTAGTAGTAACAGTATTAACAGTATTAACAGTAGTAACAGTAGTAGTAACAGTAGTAGTAGTAGTAGTAGTAGTAGTAGTAGCAGTAACAGCAGCAGTTGTAGTATTAGCAGTCGCAGTAGTAGTAACAGCAGCAAATGTAGTAGTAGTAGTAGTTTTAAGAGTAGTTGTACTCTAGACTTTGCACTTTGCTTTGTCCCATAAACCAATGCTCTTTAGTGTTGACTCATCCTCGCTGACTCACTCTGCTCCAAAGAATTTATAAAAACACATGATTTCATTTACTAGAAACTACTCTACCCACGATGCACTTGTGTCTGAAACAGGATACAATTTAGAGGAGGAGATGGGCACTTCCTCCTACAAGTGGAGACTCCCATCATTCGTTTAACACAAGAGACGGGAAAAGGGTTAAACCAGGTCTGCACAGGAAATCTATGTAATTGTGATTTTTCTGACAAATAATGTGATTTCGATTAGAGCTGCGATTTATGTTTTAGTAAGAAGATTCTGTTTAAAAAGTTCACATTTTACACGTGTTCTGAAGAAAAGAGATAGACCAACTCGAGTTTTTTCATGGCCGATGCACATACAGATAGTTTAGAGCTCAGAGAATGCGACGGACGATGTTTTGAGCCGATACGTGGGGATGACTTGACTAGTTTCCACAAATTTCATCAATTTACTACAAACTCATAAGAGAGAAAGATCTAAGGCCGATAGTGATATGCTAAAAAGTCCAAATATCGGCCTGATATATTGGTTTAAGGGGTCGATATGGCAGATGTACACTTAGAGACAGAGGGAGAGACACTGAACTTTTAGTCAAATTGTGCAGATTTAAGTCAAAACTTGTGAACACGTGAGGAGAAAAAGGGACACGCTGTGGCTCAGGCCTTTTCCTAAACAAGACAACGTAAATCCTCGTCAGCACCACGCTCTCTTACTGCGCTCTTACTATGATGAAGACCCTCAGATTAAAATGCGCATGCCTTACCATCGACATTGACCAAAGTAGAAATCGCAATCTATCGATCTTTTGATTTTGGCACAGTCCTATATTGGTCCATTTGAACTGACAAATTAATAGAAGAATCACTTTTCCGAACATGTATGTACAGATCAGGGTATGAATCAACCAATGTTTTTTTTTTTCATGTCCGATGCAGACATCAATTATTTAGGATCCAGAGAAACCAGTGACCGATCAGCTCTTGGACCATTTCGGTAACCTAAATAGTCTGCCGCATTATTTCACAATAAACTGTATAAAAGAGCAGTGTAGACACATTTTTGTAGTATGCTCTTTGGACTTAAGTGTTCAAATAAAGGTGTATGCATACTCTTTATTCATATGGAGGTAGCTGGTTGGCCAAACAAAACACTGCCTCTGCAAGAGTTTTAAGGCAAGTAGTAGATACTCTAAAAAGTACGAATATCGGCCTAGCTCTACTACAGGGTTAGCGGTTTTTATGCTGAATAAGACAGGGGATTTGGTTGTTTGTGGAGGAAATAAGTACTTCAAAAACTTGCAACTTTTGTGATTTGCCCAGTAGTTTATGCCATTGACACAAAGCAGGACAGTCCCAGTAAACCTATTTTCAATATACATTATCATAAAGGCCTGAGCTGCAACAAATAAACAGCAGAATAAACCAATATTTTGTCATAGATGTTATTTACTCTACCCTCGAGAGCTCAAATCTCATCATATACAGAAAAAAAGCAAAAAATCTCCCCATTATTGAGACGAAACTGTACACAAGATCAATACAAAGTCAAATATTGAACAATAAATCGACATAAGAATAACTGTGACAGATCTAAGTCTGAGACCACAGTGCACTCTCCACTGTCTCCGTGCCTCACACACTTCACCAGGACTATACCAAAACATTCAATTCAAACCAGAAACAGCACAAAATCCAGCACATTCAACAGGTTTAAGCTGCAATATGGCTTAAACTTTACTAGTGTAGGGTCTGCCACCTGCTTGTCTCCATGGAGATGTATCTGATCATTCATTTGGCCAAGTAGCATCATGTGCTTGTCACCATACAGTCGGGCATCAACAGTATCTCCATAATGACAAGCAGGTAGCGAACCATCCACCAGAAAAGTTACATAGTGCATCTTTAGACACTACACTAGGGCTGCAGAGTAACAAAAATATCCCTGTGTGTCAGATGCCCTTCCAGCATGTCAGGTGCCCTCCCTGTGTGCCTCTGGACTCACCCTGTGTGGAGGAGACCCGGTCCGAGCGGCTGAAGTCTATACTGGCATAGGCGGCGTTCTCAGGGAGGGGCAGGGCTCCGGTGGGCGTGGCTCCTGTCGCCATGGCAGCAGCAGGCAGGGGTGGGGCTCCGGTGGGCGTGGACGAGCTTCCGGTGTCGCTGCCGGAAGTCACTGTTGTTGCGGTGCTGCCGTCGTCCCTCAGCTCCAGAGCGATGTAGTTCAGTCCATTCTGATATCCGGCGTTCCGACTGATCCGGCTCCCAGACGACCCCGAGGAGGAAGAGGAGGCCGACGTCACTGGAGACAAGCCCGAATCGAAGCCCCGAGGCTGGGATAGGTGAGACTCTGCTCCCAGCCCCTCCACAGACATCCACACGCTGTCGAAGGAGGCAGAGCTGCTCCACCTGAACAAACAATAATACAACCATTAACTATTAAACACTAACATTTTAGCTGCAATAAGGCAGTTGCATTTTCTTTAACAAACAATATTTAAACAAATACCAATACTGCATCAAACCTCTAAAAACATGCTTAAATTTGCTTATTCACAGATCGTTAGTATGTTGTATATTACAGTATATTAGCTATTAATGGGTATAGGCTTGTTAAGATAACACATTTTAAAGTATGATAGATTTCTGAAAAAAAAAAAAATGTAAACAATAAACAGTAATACGGAAACAAATTAATGCTACTGACACAATAACTTTAAAGCAGGATAATCCCTCAAAAAATATTCTATATGTACAATATTGTAAAAACATAAATAAAGAAGAATTCAGTTACTTGTTCAACCTTCAAGTGTTCCAGTTTTATGGTACTATAAAAAAATAACCCCCCAAAAAATCCCCACTAGCACAAAGAAAATGTACATGCGCCCCAAAAATATTATCCCAGCTTGAACAATAAGTTGCTATAGTGATTATCATGACAGGTTTAAATGTGCATTACAAAAAAGTTGTTTGGTTATCTCTGAGCTTTTAGATTTTAAGCTTAATACTCCCAAATTGAGACCAAATGTCAGTTCAAAGTGCACCTCTCCAGTTAGTTACAGACTGTTACATTTGTGCTGACTCACCTGGACGTCTGACCGTCCGGCAGGTAGGACCCGTTGGCTGCTCCCTGATTGGTAGCTGTGGCGTGGGTCGAGGCCCCTCCCGCCGGAGCGTTGGTGGAGAAGGTCTCAGAGCTGTGGCGTCTCCTGCCCTGTGGATCTGCTCGCACCACTTTGGGCTCAGTTGCGGCTGCCCCAGGGCTAATGGGAGGGAGGGTGGCAGGTCCGGGAGGGTTGTAGCGCCCCTCCAGGAGGCACAGGTGCTGGAGCATGGCGGTGGGACTGGTCCTGTCTCCACTCATAAACGTCATGTCCGTGTAGTCGTCCCCCTTACCCCAGCGCCCCCCACTAGCCGCTGCAGGCCGGATGTAGCTTGGGGGGTTCCAGGGGGCCACCAGGCTGGGCCGAGGGGACTGGCTCTTCTCCGGTCCCACCTCCAGACACATGTAGTCCTGGTGTGGGGCCGGGGAAGTGCGCTGCTCAGAGGCATCAGGGAAGGGATACGCCGGGGGCTGCTGCTGATGTGGAAAGTGTTCTCCAAACTCGATGTTGATATACTCCCCGGGGCTGGAGGGGTCATCAGAGTGAGACGGCGCTGAGGTGGACACGCCTGTAGAGGAGGTGGCCGGTTCGCTCACTCTGATTGGCCCGTGGAAGCTCCTCCGGCCCAGGGGAAGGCGGTTGGGTCGAGTGCGGCGGTCTAACATGGCGGCGGTAGTGTGGTGGGCAGAGTAAGGGGGAGGCGGGTGTGAGGGGGTGTGGCCAGGTTTGGCAGGCGAGCTCATGGGCACATACTCACTGTAATCCCTCTCATCTCGTTCTCTTGTGGGTGTCTTGTATGAGCGTGGCAGAGAAAAGTACGGGTTGTGAGGTTTGGGTGTAGCCTCTGGGGTGGAGGGGGCTTGGCTCCTCGCTCCACCGCTGTACGACATGTCCATGTACTCGCCGTTTTCTGGCCGTTCTGCTTCTCGTTCTCTGGCCTGAGGCGACGCTTGCACCGGGGAGGGAGAGCCGCCGCTGCCACTTCCTGGCAGCATCATCATGTATCCATGGGAGTCCGTGAATGACTGCGGCTGAGGAGGGGGAGGAGCCACACGAGAGAAGAGCGGCGAATGAGAGGGTAGCATGGGCATATAGTCCGGGGGCGTGTCCCGGGAAGACGCCGCCACGCCGCACATCATGGGCACGTAGCCGCTGTCCTCTTTGGCGGAGGAAGAAAGGGAAGGGCGCTCACTGGTCGAGTCGTGGCGAGGCAGAGTGGACGGGCGGCTTTGGCTGTGTTCGGAGCAGGAGCTATAGTCTGAGCGCAGAGACGAGGACGAAGAGGAGGGACCCCCACGGAGCAGCCCACCTCCAAACGGAGGCGTGTCTGAGCTCTCATCCAGGGAGAAGTTCGTCTGTGTGGTTTTCTGATACATTGCCACACCAGACCCACCTGTGGCACCCCCTGTAGGCCGTGAGCATGAGTGCGTCCTTCTGCGCAACGACGAAGAGGAGAAGCGCTCGTCTTCAGTGGATGTGCCCTCATCTCGTAAACTGTCTGCTGCACTGGGCCCAAACACATCGCGGCTCCAGCCCATCGCCATGTAGTCGTTCAAACAGTTTTCCTCTCGGATCGGTGGCGTGTTTCCGAGCGAGTCCGGTGTGTTGCTGCGGACTCTGAAGTACCTGAAGTCTCCGGGGCTGGAGCCGTACTCGTCTGAGGAGTTGAATCCGCCGTCGGATGGTGAGCCGCAGATGGAGGCGCTGGATGGTCTTGTTAGAGTGTCTGAGACGGAGCCGTGCCCGCTGCTGGAGGACACACTCACGGGGCTGGTGGTGGAGGGGAAGTGTGACACGGGCAGAGAGGCGGAGCGAGCGTGGTAAGTTGACGTGCCTGGAACAGCCCTGGCGAAGCGTGCACCTGCTGTATTCGTACCTGTGCTGCCTGTAGCCACTGCCCCGCCCACTTCCTGTCTGCTGTGTTGTGCTCGCGTTGAGTTCAGATGCACCAGGCTTCCTGTGGCGGAGCGGAAAGGCCGGTTCATCGTCCCCTCTCCTTCGCTGGACGTCCGGAAGCGATATCCACTTGCTCCGGAGCTTTTACTGGAGGGCGGTGTCCCAACCACAGACTCTGTCCTCGACCGCCGCTGTAATCCCGTCTGACTCGGAGGTAGGTTTCCAAGATGGCGACGCGTTGTGATGAAGGGCATCGGGTTTGAGCCAGAGGACTGACTTTTACTTCTGGGTCGAAACTCTGCAAAGGCTTTTAAGGCTTTCATGGTCTCCAGAATCGTTTCATGCATGTTCTGAGCCACCACAGAGTCATCCACCTGCATCCAGATCTCCCCAGGTCCAATCGAAGACGAGCGTCCCACCTCAATGAAGAAAAAGCTCTCAGAGTGTCCACAGCGCCGGATGTTCATGAGCTGCAGGTTCACACATGGAGTCTCAGAGTTCAACTTAACCAGGTGAAGAGTTTTACTGGACAAACACAAGCGGTAAACTCCGGTGAGGTTCTTCGTCTGTCCCAGTCCTTTAGGTTTCACATTCACCTGCCATACCTCCTTAAACACAGTCCCCGGCGTCACGGTCCCGTACCCGTCATCCAGATCGTCCGAATCCACGTGCCCCTTCTTGCCCTCGTTCATGAGCGCGCTCACGGCCACGTACCAGTCCTCCTGCTCCGCCTCGTTCTCCGCCACGATCGCGAAATACTCATCCTTAGTGTAGAGAGCGATGAGGTGCTTGTTCTTGGAGTCCGCCCTCTTGTTCACGGTGAAACACTGGTACAGGTAGATGACTCTTTTGGGGGAGGAGGGGGCTACAGTGGCGGCGGAGGAGGCGCGCAGGCTGCTCCGAAACTTCTTCTCACTATCATAATACTCCAAACGGCTCGGTCCGGAGTGACTGGCGGCTCGCAGCACAAAGAACCGCTTATGTCCGTGTTTCTGCTTCCGTAGATATCCACATTTACGAATATCATCCACGGCGTCGGAACCCACAGGGGGGAAAACATGACTGCTACTGGAGGCGGCTGCGGGGGACCGGGGGGGCTCCTCTTGCGCCTGCCCGTGCGTCGGTGTGCTGTCCCCGGACACATGCTGCTGTTGCTCCCGTAGCTCTTTCGGGGCCTGGTGCAGGTTATGGAGGTGACTGGAGGGCGGTAAATGTGAATGAAACCGAGCCCCGCCGCCTCCTCCGCTGCTGCCGATATTAATTACCGGAGAAGGGGGTTCCCCGGTTGGCTCCCCGGCTGAGCCCTCTCCGTTCGCGGCTGCTCCGGGCCCCAGGTCCCGCTGCTGCGCCTCCACCATCAGCATCGCCGCCTTTCCTTCGTGGTAATCCGTAAAATTTGCCATCGGCGCGTACAGTCAAAGGTCACTTTTGTAGCGGGCTAATCCGTGCGGACCTAGCCCCCATTCTTGTTTGGGAGCTAAGGGAGCTAGCCGCGGCTCGCTCCAGAAGCGGCTCCACGCACTCTCACGCCCCGCGGGACCAGATACCTCCCCAAAAACACGTCCTTTCGGGTCTTTAGCGCCACGTTCGGCCCCCCGGTGCTGGCTCTGTGCGGTGTTTCCCGTGTGGACACCGTTAGCTCGGGTTTAGCTCGGTTTTAGCTCGGTTTAGCTCGGTTAGCAGCGCTTCTATTCGGCCGCTGTGCACGTCTCTGGGCCCGGAGCACAAACAACACATGACCCTGTGCGTCACGGCCCAGGGGGAGGGGCCACTCGGCCTTTCACAACATCTGATTGGCCCGTCTCTTCGATTGACACATTCTTGGACCGCTCAGAGCCAATCATAGTCGGATTTACGGCTTTGCGTCAATGGCTCTGACCAATCGCGTATAGAAGAGTTTTATTGAAGTTAAAAATAGGCGGTGACTTCGCCGTGGATCTGCAGCAACAAGAGCAAAAGAGAGAACTGATCCAGGACCAGCGAAAACCCGGAGACCCCAGAGCCAGACCAAACCAAAACCAGAGTCCAGACCCGACCCGAGACCAGACCCCAGACCAGACGAGATCAAAACCGAGTCCAGACCAGAACCAATCCAGGACCAGCGTAAACCGAGAGACCCCAGAGCCAGACCACACCAAAACCAGAACCAGACCCGAATCCAGACCAACTGCCGACCAAAATCGACTCCAGACCAGAACTGACCCAGAACCAGGGAAAACCCAGAGACCCAGACCTCAACCAGACCTGGGTCCACTTTAGGGATGCACCGATCCAACTTTTTCAGTTCCGATACCATAGTTTTAAGTATCTATCGATACCCGATATCAATCAATACCGGAGATTTCAATTAACATTTATATCTTTAAAACAAAAATAAAACAAGACATTTGGATTAGTTTTGGTTTATGTAGCTGTTACATATCCCTTAGGTGACTATAGATACATTTAAATAATAATTACAAAAAATAGTTAAAGAACATTGCCATTTTGTCAAAAAATCTCAAGTTTAGGAAAAGAGATGTGTATTAAAAATTATAATAAAAAATACCCACGTAAATAAAGTATAGATAACACTGGTCACTGCTTTGTTTTGTTCTAAACAGTGATGATGTAATCCTGGGTAAGATGACTGATTGTTATTGCCATAAAATGAAAGCACGTGGTTTATGCAATTATGTTAAATATTGATGCAACACACAAGGGACTGATGTAAAAACAAATTAGAACCGCAAAACATTAATTTTATTTTATTTTTCCCCACGGAGCTTCTTGTATCAGTGATTCCAACAAATTGATTAATGATCAAATATAATTTCATTTTGGTTTAGAACATGTTTAGACAGAAACCGTGAACTTCCTCTGGCCCTGGAGGAGGAGGTCTCTTGTTCTTTCTTTCTTTCTTTCTTTCTTTCAGTGCCTCACCCCTCTCTTTTTATCTTTGTTCTCCCCCAATTCTTTCTCTTCTCCCCTCTTTCTGCCCTCTCTCTTACCCCATGTTTTTCTGTCTTTCTACTGTCTCTAAACCCCCTTCTTCCCCCTCTCCCCCTCCTCTTCTCTCTCCCAATCTCAGTCCTTTTCTACTCTCTTCTTCCCTCCCTCCTCTCTCCCTTTCTCTCACTCCTCTTCATCTCTCTCTCCTCCTTTCTCTCCCTTAATTTCTCCTCTCCTTCCTCGTGCCTCTTCTTCTCTCACTCCCTCCTCTCTTCTCCTCTCCCTCTGCTTTTATCTCCCTCACCTCCTCTCTCCTCCTCTCACCCTATCTCAACCCCTTCTCCTTCTCTTCCTCTCCTCCTCCTCCTCTCTCCTTCTTTTTGATCCAAAGGTTTCCGGACAAAGCGTTGTGTAACTCCACTCTCCCGGAGGAGGTCACCATCAGCTGTTCTGAGTAAAGAATGGACCACCTTAACCTGGCAACACTCAAACACTTTGTCCTGAACCTGAACCACGCACCCTCTCGTTACGTGCCTGTACTCAACTCGGGTAACCTCTCACCTTTGACCCCGTTGGTGTTTTTCAGCGCAGAATGTGGATTTTCTGTTTCTGTTTCTGAGAAGAACATGTGTTAGTGAGTGTGAATGAAACAACTCCAGGTATTTTGGGGTTTGGAGGGAAGAAAACAGAATGGACGGAAACATTATAACATAAAAAAGAGAGATTGTTGGTAGTATTTGCAGTAGTAGTAATAGTATTTGCAGTTACGCTACTTAGAATTGTAATAGTAGTATTTTTAGTAACATTACCAAGTCCACACACGTATTTTTTTATATTAACAACCCTTTATTTAAAACATATCACACCTCCATCTCTATCTCTCCCTCCATCTGTTTAATTCTTCCCACCTCTCTGTTTCTCTTTCCTTTTTCTGTCTGTATTATCTGTTTCTCTCTCTCCTCCTCCCTCCTCTCTCTCTTTCTGTCTGTATCATGTTTCTCTCCCTCTCCTCCTCTCTTTTCTCTGTTATTCCTTTTCTTTTTCTGCTGTTGCTATGCGCTCTCTGCTCTGCCCTTCAGTGCCTCTCTCTCGGTTGCGTGTGAGAGCGGCCTCTAGCGGTCGTTCCTCAGATTTACACGTCAATTACACCTCCCCCTTTGGGCCCCCCTTTCTCCTTCTCCCTTTGTTCAGGTCTATTTCAAAATCTGCTGCAACATTTCGCCTCACGACATCATCCGAGACAAATAAAAGAAAAACAAAATAGACACAAAAAATGTATAAATTATTTGTATTTTATTTTACATGTATTACTTAAATGCATTTCCTTATTTATGTATTTATTTATTTATACTTAATATCTTATAGCTGTGTTGTAGTATGACCTTTTCACAATTTTTTTTAATTATTTTTAAACATTGGAGAAACTATAATGTAACTTAAAGGTGCATTGTGTGACTTTTCTGGTGGAATGCTTTTTCTCCATGGAGATTTTATTGTTTGTCTGGAATGTTTCACAGTATGGAATTAAATCTTTTTATCTTCACGAAGATCAAACCAGACCAAGTTACAGGTCAGATCTGTGGAGAGGTGACCCGCACAGTGAGAATACCTGTTTTTCTAGGTATTTTTGAGCTGACAAAAAACAAAAAACAAAACACTTGTAATAGAATAAATGTAAGGCAGAGCTGTTTAATGTCATACTGTGGAACATTGTGTGGTGTGAGGACAACTACCTGGATTTGAACATTGCCAAAACTAAGGACATGGTAATTGATTTTAGACGTGCACCTTCCCACAGTGTTAGTGTCGTCCACAGTGATGATGTTGAAATAGTTGATAGTTACAAATATCTGGGCACCGTGATGGACAAAAAACTGAAATTTGACCTAAACACTGAAAGCATCGTCAAACGAGGGCAGCAAAGATTATATTTGTTGAGAAAGCTGAACTCTTTTAATGTGAACAAAATGATTCTCAACAGTTTTTATTGTCGTTTTATCGAAAGGCTGCTTACTTTTTCTTTTATTTGCTGGTTTCAATCCTTGTCCAAAAACAAACCGCAGAACATTGTTTAAACCTGCTCAAAAATCACAGGGTTCAAACTGAGGGAGCTGTACTCTTTGTGGGAGGAGCAAGTGCTGTGCAAAGCCAAGTGTGTCCTGGCTCAGCCCCTCCATCCTCTGGCTCCTGATTTTATCCTGATGCCTTCAGAGTGTTGGTTTTATGCTCAGGTACAAAAGACTAACCAGTTTTCAAATTCTTTTGTGCCCTCTGCTATTAAATTACTAAATTCTCCGGGTCATTTGTAGATTGTCATTGAGTTCCACTGGTGGACTGTAATGGACTGACCCATTGTGTGTGTTTGTATTTGTGTGTGTGAGAAGTGAGAACTGCTCTGAGATGCTGCTAATGAATTGCCCTAAGGCAGGGGTGTCAAACATACGGCCCGGGGGCCAGATCCGGCCCTCCAAGACCTTTAATCTGGCCCTGGGCTGATTTTCTACTAAAATATTTTAATTATATTTTCTATTAAAGTATTGGTAATTTTCTGTGGTGCTTAGCATAGCAGCATCTTCAGCGCCTCTGTACGTGGCCCCGCCCACCAGAGCAGCACAAATGAAGACTTGCCTCTTTCCAAACGCTCTTAAAGGACGATCGTTTTGACTGTTGACCATGACACCCTCATCAGAAAAATGTCAAAAATGAGAAAAGTGGACGCAGAGTGCAGAATTTTCCAAGGAAAAATTGACTTATTCCTATTTGCAGCCAAGTTCATGTTACAACTTTGTGTTGAAATCACATTTTTCTTAAAGTTTCAGGTTGTTCATAATATTATAATATTTTGTAAAAGAAAGAGTTCATCAATTAAAAAAGATTTCTGTAATAGATTTGTGTTTCTCTGCACAAATATTTGAACTTATTGTTATTTTTGGGGTTTATATGCCATGAGTTTTCTGATCCGGCACCTTTAGGATCAAAGTAGGTTGGATAAGGCCCCCGGAACAAAATGAGTTTGACACCCCTGCCCTATGGGATCAATAAAGTTTTCTGAATCTAAATCTGAATTCCAGGTAGAGAAATTATGTATCCATAGAACCAAACAAGTGACGGACCCCCAACCAAAAGGTTACACAGTGCATCTTTAAAATTTGAAAATTATTTATTAAATTAATTTAGAAACCTTTCCAGTTGCCATACATTGATTTTTACATATTTATTTTAGATTCTAGGGTCTGACCGTTTGTTGATGTTAATCGTTTAAAGGTCCACTGTGTAACTTTTCAGGTAGAGGGTCCATTAAAGCTTTTCTCAATGGAGATGCTTTGTCTGAAATGTTACACAGTACAGTATTAAGCCTTTCCATCATCATGAAGACCAAACCAGACCAAGTTACAGGTCAGATCTGTGGAGAGGCGACCCTGCTCACAGCCAGAATGCCTGTTTTGTAGGTATTTTTGAGCAATAAAACTAATTGTAATTGAATAAATGTAAAATAGGGCTGTTTAAAGTCATACTATGGAACATTTCAGGTAGAGCAATGACATCTCCATAGAAACAAGCAGGTGACAGACCCCCAACCAAAAAGTTACTGTTCATAGTGCAGCTTTAAACTGTAGGCTGATATACATGAGTCAAAACAACATCAGCACCTGTTTGCCCAGGACACATAATACACACTTTCCCAATACTTTTTGAAGATGTGAGTGTGATCACAGGTGAATCTCACAGTTTTCAGATGGGCGTGATTGACAGATGGATTAGCCAATCAGAGACAAGTATGGTCCGTCCTTACCAAAAGAAATATGGCTGCTTAAAAAGGCTGGAAAAAATAACAAGAGACAGAATTAACATCACAGATTTCAACAGAATCAATGAGTGAAGCAATAAACTGTTAATCTGAGGTGAGAGAAATGTCACTTTATTCAAAATGATAACTGATCAATGAGCTCCTTTGTTTCACATGTCACTGGAATAAACAAATCTGATTGGACGGCTGTGTTTGAGCCTGGATGAGACGCAACAGAGGGAGTTGAGACCAGAGTGACCTCCCTCTTTATAAAAAGAGACAGATATCGTTCCAACTGGGCCTGGGTCGGTACTTTGTAAGTGCATCTGTTCAGGATCAGGATCTTTCTGTGTAATTCATTAAAGGTCCTATATTACAGAAAATGGACTCTTGTGAGTTTTTAGCCATGTTATAATGTTGTTCCCTCCTCAAAAACACACCTGGAGTTGTGTTTTGTTACATTCACACATGTTTGAGTAACCCCGCATTATTAGTTTGTCTACATTTCCAAAGCTCAAAATGCTCTGTTCCACCTTGTGATGTTATGAAGCAGTAGTTTTCAAGGTAATAGTTCAGTAGATATGGGCAATTCCAGGGCTGAAATTATCCAAATGATTCTAGTGAAGGTGTATGGAGTTTAAAAACTCAATGGAGCACTTCCTGTATTACCATATGACATCACAAGGTGGAATAAAGTGTTTTCTGTTCTGTTCTGAGAAGAGCTCAGTCTAAATATGCAGGGTTTGTGTGTTAAACAACTCCAGGTCTGTAACAAAGAACAGAGAATAGTGTAATATGGGCCCTTTAATCTGCATCAGACACATTTCAGTAATCTGTGTGGATCCATAGATGTGTCTCATAATCCTTGTGTTTATAATCTACAGAAATAATCTACAGAAAAAAATGCCTCTTTAAATTGAGACTAATCCTATTGTTCAAGCATACATATTATTGATATGACCGAGGCCTGTTTATAATGTACAAGGGAGATGTAGAAGAAACACACTCACTTTTAAATATTAATAAGAGTCTGATATTTGTGGTTGAGCTAAATCTTTAATTATGGAATATAGATCTGAGATGAACATTTTGACATAGGAGGAGTTGGTGCTTTTCAGATTATAATGTCACAGACCCAGAAGGGGACCAAATTTCCCTATTGGTAACAGAATTTTTATTTTTAAGATCTATTCAAAAGACAAAAAGTGACAAATGTTGAACCTGATCATTTCAATCAGTGAATCAATAGACCTAAGAACTCACTGTACTGCAACATACAACTGCATTTTAACATTATTTATTTTAGTTTCCCCCCATCTGTATTAAATATGATTGGACACACTATTGACACTTCTACATGTACTGTATCTCTATGGTGGAATGTTCAGCAGTTACCTTGTTAACCAAATGCACACAAAATAGTAAACATGTCAACAGTTTTAAGATTGCCTGAAAAAAAAAAAAAAAATTGAAACAACAAATTTTCAGAAGCTTGTGATCATTACAATTTATTCTTCAAATTGTAATTTTATGAGTAAGAGACTTGTTTAACAGCACAAAGCAACTCACTTGTTGTAGTTCCAACTAAACCAGCTCCTAGCCAGAGTTAAAATAAAACTCATATTAAAGTCTAACAGAACTTCAGACAGGGCAGTGCTTCATACCCCCAGGGAATGCTGACGACTTCATCTGAAACACTGAAACACTGAAATATGCCAGGACCATTGAGTCACACAATAAGACCACTAGAGGGCAGTATTTCTGTTACTCCTTTACATCATGATTTCAAACCCTGCAACCCTGTTCCACCTTGTGACGGCATGTGGTAAGACAGGAAGTGCTCCACTGTGTTTCTAAACTCCATACACCTTCACTAGAATTGCCAGTCTCTACTGAACTAAAGGCAAAAGGAGCTGTCAACTAGAAAACTACAATTTTGTGACACCACAAGGTGGAACAGAGCATTTTGAGCTTTGGAGATGCAGACAAGACTAATAATAAAGGGTTACTCAAACAAAAATGTGTGAATGAAACAAAACACAACTCCAGGTATGTTTTTGAGGAGGCAACAATGTTCTAACATGGCTTAATGCTCACAAGTCAACTTTATGTAATATAGGATCTTTAAATCATTGCTGTGGAAGACTTATTATATAACCCATGAATAAAGACCACTGTTGGGACAGTATGAATAATAATTAAATATATTATTAACACTAATTTTGTATGGTCATGTTCAGTGGTGTGTCATCATGAAGTTGGGCTTCCTCCTCGTGGCCGTACAGCTGCGTCACCACTCGCACATGTGAGATCATCTTCACGGCTTTGTGAAGGACGTGCTTCATGTTCCTCTGAGAGCTGGCCATGCTGCACGTCCGTCTGCAGAGAGAGAGAGAGAGAGAGCATGTACTTACATGGGACAGAACACAGGAGCACCAGTGCTGCATACAAGTACTGCGTACTAGTACTGCATACAAGTACTCCATAGACACAGTAGCACCATGACACTTGGACTTGTGGCTGCGTTCACGTGGAAACCTCTGTTTTGCTTTAAAATCTCTCATCACCTCAGGGATTGTGGTTTGCTCTGAGGAGTTTGAGTCTCTTCATCAGAACATACATCAGCACACACATTTACTTTTTCATAAACACCTCCGTGTTGTTTCAGTTTTTCAGAGGTTTTCATGAAGGAGCAGCTTTGCAAACGTAAAGTCATTTAAAACTTGTAAAGTAGAAGAACTGAGATTTGTGAGTAAAAGGTTTCATAGAGAGTCAAATCAACATGTTTTTAAATTGCATTTCTGTGTCTGTCAAAGAGTCACGTTGCGGAGTGGGACTACTGCAGTACTGTGTAATACAGTTGTAGTACTGTGTAGTACAGTTGTAGTAATGTTATACATTTGTATAAATGCATAACACTACCTCAGTTTTTCTTCTTTAAAAGTCGTTCCTGTTCCTTCCGTTTCTTGTACTGCGCTATCTCAGCCATCTGCAGCCCGTGGGCCATCTGCCTGTGGACCAATCAGAACACATCAGTATCTGCCTGTGGACCAATCAGAACACATCAGTATCTGTGTGGGAACCAATCAGGACAGATTAGTGAAGCCTACAGCAGGAGAGAGGAAACGGAGGTGGGAGGTTAAGGCCTACCACTGTAAACCTACCAGCTCAGTGGGACGGGCAGAGGGGAGGGGTGAGAGAGGAGGGTGAGACAGTGGCCCTGTTCACATGCACCAAAATCTGATTATCATCTGATTTCTGGACCTTTCAGATTTCTCTAATAACAGGTAAACTGCAAAATCTGATATGAGTGATCAGAATTTTTTTTTTTTTGGAAGATTTACCTTTTTACATTTGATTGAAGTAATCTTATAACTCCAAAAATCTATAATAATGAGATTTTGAACATGCATGTAACAGAGCAAGAGCAGCCGGTAGGGAGCGCCTTACCCCGTCTTGACCTCTGGGGGGACAGGCAGAGGTTTGGTGAAGTCGGTTCTCCCGGTGAGCCAGTACGTCTCCTCGATGCCTTTGCCCTGAGCACAAACAATCAGACAAAAATACATGTGCTTTATAGATTAAAAAGTGAAGCTAAACTGTCCCCTAGACTGTCCTATTGACACTCTGCAGCTGTTGTCATCAACATTACCTGGGGGTGTGATGCTAACTGTAGGCATGCTGTGTCTGAGACTTTGTTAAACTTTAATCTGAGCTTTATTTAAACACAATTTATCAAATGGTTATTGTATCTTGAGAAAATATATTTAAAACCATATAAAGATTCAGTGAAGCAGCCGCTCTAACTAGGACAGTGGAGTTTGTGGTTTCTCACTGAATATCTCACCCTCACTTCCGTACGTCCCCTCAGCACCAATTTGTATCCGAGGCTGAGTTCCTGCAGAACCCTCACGGTGCTCTGGTGAACGTGGATCCTGTACGCTGAAAGAAAGAACAAAAACAAGTCAGAAATCTGTGAAAAATGGGGTAGCTATAGCTATTAACGTGCTCTGGGAGAGAAGAGCAAGACTGTCCACTCATACATGGTTTATTACACATTGAGCAAGCACGCAGGTCTCCATGGTGATCTGAATCATTCATGAAATAGAGATTAGTCTGTACTGCAACACTGATACACTTGTAATACTGACTGTTTCTCTGGAAAGAACTAAATACTGTAGTTCTAAGTTTGTCATATTCTCTCGTTGTATGTCAGGTGCCCTCCCTGTGTCTCCATGGAGTCTTATGCTGTGTAAAAGCTGCTAACCCTGTAGTTTAGACCTCTACAAACATGGATTTTTGGATGGGTTTAAAGTTCAGATTTCTCTCTCAGATGTGAATGCTCCTGGACTCGTTTAAATCTACTGAATCAGAGGAGAGACGTACGCATCCCTGTAGACTCCATCCGAGAAGCTGTGGTCACTGTGTCTCCGAAAAGACAGTACCGCGGCATCGTCAGCCCCACCACCCCCGCCACACACGGGCCTGCAGGGGACAGCAGAGGACTACTGTTAAAGAGCCCATATTACATGATTTTCAGAGTTATAATGTTGTTTTCTCATCACAAACATACTTGGAGTTATGTTGTTTTATTCATACACCATACGTACACTGCAGACAGTGTACTTTTCTCAAACACACCTGTCACGTGGTAATAGAGGAAGTGCCCCACCAACTCCATACACCTTCACTAGAATAATTTGGGTCCTTTTAACCCTGGAATTCTCAATCGCTATGGAAAGGTAAAAGGAGGTGTTAACTTGAAAACTACCGCTTCATGACATCACAAGGTGGAACAGAGCATATTGAGCTTTGGAGATGTAGATATGCTAATAATGAAGGATTATGCAAAAGTTTGAATGAAAACACAACTCCAGGTATATTTCTGGTGAGGTAACAAGATTCTAACATGGCTTAAAGCTCACAACTCCATTTTGAGTAATATAGGACACAGTTCAGATCTAGTGACTACTTAATGTTTACTGTGTCCTAACACTAACTTGATAATCATATTTTATGTTTTATCATGTTCATATGTCCCTGTGTTTGTGCTGGTACCCGTGTGCAGTCCGATGCGGATGCGCACAGGCACGTCAGGCATGTGCCTCATTTTAAAGGAGCCGACGGCACTCAAGATGTCCAGAGCCATGTTGGCGATCTCTGCCGCGTGACGATTCTCATTTGGGACGGGCACTCCAGACGCCACCATGTATGCATCTCCAATTGTCTCCACCTGAGGAAGAAGGGGGGAGAGAGAAAGAGGGAGAAAGGGAAAGAGAGATGAGACAGTTAAAGACCTGTCACTAGCTGTTGTTTTTTTTCCTCAACTCTCCCAGTGCATTGTGGTCTGTAATGACCGCTCTAATGATCTTCGCTGGACAATATTTTTAAAAGTGCATTGTGGTACATTTTTGGGAAACTACTTTTTCACTCATTGGACTTTTCTGGAGTAAAATAATGAAAATAAAGTGACTGACTCAAAATCACTCAAACTAGTTAATCACTTCCTTTGACCTCTGACCTTGTAGACGTCGTGGTTGCCGATGATGGCATCGAAGAGTGTGTAGAGGTCATTGAGCAAGTCGACTACCTCGATGGGCTCGCTGTTGGCGGAGATGGTGGTAAAGCCCACAATGTCACTGAAGTACAGAGACACATGATCAAAGTACTCTGGGACCACAGTACCTCCAACCTTCAGTGCCTCCGCCACAGATCTGAGCACAGGGACAAGACAGGGATGAATAACAAGTAAAAAGCAAATCTAATTCAAATTAAAGGAATCATATACTGCAAAATCAACTTTTCAGAGCTTTTAACCATGTTACAGGTATTTACCTTCTCATTGACCCTTTCCAAGTTATTTGTACATGTTTGAGTGTTGCGCTGCGAGTTTGGCACATTTTTTATTTGTTTTAATGCACTACTGGCTGGTGTGATGTGCAGCTATCCACAGGAGGAGCCTAACTGCATGACGTTTAATGTGGTGTAATGGTAATGGCCCCATTTCTATATAGTGCTTCAAGGCACTCAACGCGCACCAAATTCTCAATCAGGCTGAGTACAAATCAGCCTGGTGGGCCCACACTACATGTTGTCCAATGAAAAATGCACATTACAGACAGTCTGAGGTCTGGTGTCTGTACAATCTGAGGTCTGGTGTCTGTAGCACAGAGCACAGGTTCAGCTGGACTCACGGAGGCAGCATCTGTGTCAGGAGCTTCTCGGTTTTCTGCTTCTCGATCTCCAGCTCCTCTGTGCGCTCTCGGATCAGCTCCTCCAGGTTGGATGAATACTGCTCCAGCATCCGCAGCATGGAGTCAATGATGTTTGTCTTCTTCCCTTTGTTTATGTTTTTAAACTGGGACCAAACACAGGTGAGATAAATATTAACATCTTAAATCTAATCTTAGTTGGAAATGCTCTGAATTGTATTTTACAATAGACAAAATGTAAAATCATGCTTTATGTTATTATGTCTATTATTACTGATGATTGAAATCTTCAGGGTCTCAGAGTTTAACAAAAGTATTGCTGTTTTTGGATGTCTTGTTCCACAGATGTATAATGTGTTTATGAACCTGGTCGAAGATGTTCTCAAAGTCGGGCCTCTTGTCCGGCTGCTCCGTCCAGCACTGCTTCATGAGTTGGATACACTCCAGGGGTGCATAGTCTGGACTCACCAGGGGGCGGCAAAGAGGAGGGGGCCGCCGCAGTTTCTCCAGGATCTCTGCAACATGAATTTTACAAGAATATTTGAATCATGATAACCATTGGTGGCCAGCAGTGCCATCACGTTAGGGGTGTTCAACATGTATGCATATGATGGAATGTTCATAAAAACATTTTTTGACAACAAACTAATTTTCAGGAGCCTGTGATCATGAACATGGCTTCAGAAAGAGCAGAGCCTACAGTTAGCTTCACATGTCTTTGGGCAGTTGTACTATGAGGCTGGTGATACAGTAGACATGTAGACACGGCAAGTGTTTCTCCTTGTAACATTATGAATCACAAAACATAATAAATACTCATATATATATATATATATATATATATATATATATATATATATATATAAGGTCAAGCTAATTCTATTGTTCTCACCTGTGGGGGACAGGTCTAACATACAGTACGGAGCTCCTCGTATCACCACCTCCTGCATGATGATCGCGAAACTGAACACATCTCCAGGCTGTGTCCCGTAAAGACCAGGCTGACCAGAGCGTAGGATCTCAGGAGCTGTCCACAACAAGTCTGCAACAACAGAAGAGGGTCAGAGGAGCAGAGAAGATTATCAGAGGAGCAGAGGGACAGAGGAGAAGAAGGTCAGAGGAGCAGAGGAGAGGAGCAGAGTAGAAGCTCAGATGGTGTAGAGGAGGGTGAGAGGAGGGTCTGAGGACCAGAGAAGGGGTCAGAAGTCAGTGGTGGAGCAGATAGCACAGAGTAGAATGAAGAGGAGGGTCAGATGAACAAGATGTAGCAGAGGATCACCTTCTGCATGCTGCTGGCTGTAGGGGAACCTCTGAGCCTCCAGGACCTCATTGAATCCAAAGTCTGTGACCTTCAGAACAAAGCGCCCATCCACTACACAGTTCCTGGACTTGAGCCGTGTGTGGACCACTCCCCTGTGGTGCAGGTACTTCATGCCCTGAACACACAACTATATTAAAGCTGCACAGTGAAACTTTACTGGGAGAGGGTTCATCACTATGTTTCCATGGAGATTGCAAATTTTACTGACATTTAAAAAGTTTACAGAACATTGCTCCTTCACAGGTCATAAACCTGATGTCTCTTGTTTTAAACTTCTAGCCTTTTGAATGATTTCTAACTTTCCAAACTTATTCATAAGATCCTGATTCTTTGTGTTAATTCTAAGACTGTTTCCTAACAGTAAAACCAGACTGTTACACCCCCATCTGCTCCACCTCCACAGCCTCATCACAAAAATAAAGATTTAGATGCAGACAGTCCACACAGGTCTGATCTGCTTTTATAATATACTGTATTTGACTCCAGTATTTAAAAAAAGTATACAAGTATGTATATAAGGCCTTTAAGTGACAGGGTGAGCCTGTGTCAGGGCCGACAGGTGCTGGTGGGGTGACAGGGTGCTGACAGGGTGCTGACAGGGTGCACCTTGATGAGGTCCAGGAGCAGCGAGGACTTGAACATCCAGTCCAGTTTGACGTTGTGGTTGAGCAGCAGATCCTCCAGACTTCCTCTGGAGCAGAACTCTGTGACGATGGCGAAGACGCCACAGTCGTGAAAGAACCCGAGGAAGAGGTTCACGTTCTCATGACGCATGTCCTTCATCTGAAAGAAAAACATGGAAAGGACATGAGATCAGCAGCTACAGAGCACCTACTGAAGCACCCACACAGCACCTACAGAGCACTTACACAAGCACCCACAGAGCACCTACAGAGCATCTATAGCACCAACGGAGCACCTACACAAGCACCCACAGAGCACCTATACACAAGCATCCACAAAGCACCTACAGAGCATCTACAGCACCCACAGAGCACCCACACAGCATCTACAGAGCACCTACAGAGCACCTACACAGCACCCACATGAGCACCTACAGAGCACCCACAGCAGCTCCCATATAGCATCCACAGAGCACCCATACACTATATAAAGAAGTAAACTAAGGGAATGTAACGTCGCCCATAGCATTCTGCTCCAGTCAAATAAAGCTCATCGAGACCTTCTGAAACCAGGGCTCATATTTGGAAATCCAGGGGCGCAACCAAAAAGCCAATCAGGAGAGAGGTAGGTACACACCCTTTCTTACCTGCACCACTGGATGATAGGAGTTGGTCACTTAGCAACGCTGTCAATCAAACCTGTTGCTAGCACCTGATCTGTCTGTTATTGATGTTCATATCAAAATAAAATAATCACATCGAATGGCACCCAAACTTGCTTCCTATTTGGAATGTGGTGACTAGAGGTTTAGCTATGTCCACTTCTAGAATATGGCAGCACCCACAGGGACAGAGTGTGGACATACCAGTTCAAACACCTCACTGGTTTTCTGGTTTATTCGATTGAAGGCGCCGTCAGGAAGCCTCTTCAGCCACGCCCAGTCGCCCTGAAACAAGAGACAGGACACTCTGAGGCCTCATCGAATTATAACAAAACATCACATGAGACTTTACATCTGAAAGCAAATCCTGGTCAGGAATACTGAGCTGTATCCTCTGCATTTGACCCATCCTTCAGTGTCTCTGGGGTAAACCTGTCAGGAGCAGTGGGACCTATCTCCTTAGCTGGAGGGTTTTCCTTTGTGCAGGTTTGGCTTGAGGAGTGTCCAGAAGAAACCTGCTTGAGGCTTGTGAGGGTCTAGAGGACTCACCTCAAAGATGACCACGTTGGAGTTCTCGTAGGTGGCTGGAGACTGGACGGACTCTGAGGCGTGACTCACAGTGGAGACGCTCTTTAAACCACTGGTTTTGCTGTCGTCACGGCTCAACTTCTGACACACACAAACAGGCAAAAATAAACTGTAAAGAGGCAGTATTACACTTCTTTGGAGTATTAGCTGCTAACACATAACATATTTAGATCACCATGTTACCGGAGTTCCTGTTCCCTTTAAACTACTGCACGTCACATCAGGTTTGTGATGTTGTAGAATTGTTTTGTATCATGCATTTATGAAAAATGGCCATGTGGGAGAATTGGTGAATTAGGCTTGTTGGCAGAGCCTTGTACAGGCTCATGCTGCTAACACTAAGGAGGCTTCAAATAGTGCCCGTGACTTCCTGTTGTTCCATGCTATCACTTAATACATCACAGTAGGTAACAATTCAAATCTTTAACAGTTTAATCCTTGTGGCTCACACAATAATCACTATTTCAGTATATAGAAACATAAAAACTACTTTAGCTGTACTTTTGGTCTTTCCAAAGTTTTTAATATAACTCATCTTTGACCAGTAAATGAATTCATGTACATTCCTGTTTTTATATAACTGAGATTAGTGTGTCCAAAACAAAGTAGTTGAATTTCTGGTTTTTGCTTGAGCTGACCTTGTTGCTAAGCGATGGGTTAATAAAAGTGACGTCATCCAGAGTCAGGCGGATTTTGTTTGGACCTCGGACCATTTGAAACTGGACAATGCGCCGCCTGCAGGACAAGAGGATAATTACACACCACATTCAGAAAAAAGGTTTTAAAGATTTTTCACTCACCGCACGCCGTATGTCAGAGCGACCATCGAGACAAAACACGCCACAGCCCAAAGGAACACGATCAGAGTGGAAAACACATCCACACCTGAGGAACACAAACAGTCAGATGCCATTTCTGTGACAAATGCTCTCCTTGTGTGCCAGATGCCCTCCCACCCTCACCTCCAGAGCACAGCACTCCTGGGGTGAACCAGCAGGGGGCGTCTTTCTGTGGTCCCCAGCCTCCAGGGAAGTGGATCTCTGACCCCAGGAAGCGCACCAGACCGGCCTCCAGGTCGATTCTGTGACAGGGTCAAGGTTATTTACCAAATGTGTGTCAATCATGCTAATCTTTAGCTTGACTTTTATTATTCCACACCAAAAACGGATAAAACATTTCCATTAATTTGAGTTAAATAGAGTTCGCAAAGACAGTTTAATATGTTTATCTTTAAGAAACTGTTTTGCTCTAATCACAAACACTAAATTCAGTCTGCACTAATCTGCTGTAAATAACAAGCATCTGGGCGTGTACTTATCAAATATTAAAGCAAATTTCACTCTGACTCATGCTGGGGAATCACAGTGTCTAAACCAGATCTAAACCAGATCTAAACCAGATCTAAACCAGATCTAAATCAGGTCTGAACCTGTGAGTGGGCTTTAGCTCCCAGGTCTCTCCGTCTGAGTCCAAGATGAGGAAGTCAGTGAGAACAGATCCAGAGGCGTCAGTTTTAACAGGGAAACTGAAGCCCTGCAGAAAGAATGGACAATTTATTAAAACTACAGCGTACACATATGCGCGCACACACACACGCACACACACACACACCCACACACATAAACTCAGGAACTACAATTGAGGTTTTGTAAATCGCGTGTTATCAACTTGCATTTGTAGATTCATATGGAACATTGTAATTTCAAATGTGAGCTTCTTGATAAAGTCTCCTGAAATGTTTTTTACTTCACAGCTGTGCCTCACTAAAAGTACAAACCAGAGTTCAAAGCAAAAGGTGGTTTGCTTTTTTTGATGGAATGAAATTAAAAACTGGTTGTGTACATGAAAGCGAAAAGAAAGTACAGATAATGTTTCAAATTGCCTCCTCTAAAGTGAAGTGAGCTGACCTGAAATTGCAGGTTGGCCGTGTGCCGGGCCAGGTTCCCCCCAGAGAGCCACTCTTTTCTAGACCTGAGCCTGTGCAGAGCCTGGGCCACCAACAGTACGGAGGTGTAGATGGTCCCGAAGAGTGGAGACACCTGCAGAAGGAAGAGGAGAGGAGGAGCAGGGGAGGCAGAGGAAGAGGAGAAGAGAGAGGAGGAGGAGGAGCAGGGGATGAGAGGAGGAGAAGATGGGGGAGGAAAGGAGTGGAAGAAGTTTAAAAAAAAAATGAAAATTAAAGATGACTCAAACATGAATGAACTGTGAATAAATGACGACTATAACAACAACTATAACATGTTTAAAAGCTCTGAAAAGTCGACTTTCTTGTTTTGTCTCAAACATCCTTGAGTATACCTCTGTAATCTTTGGTAAGATTTGCATGATTTGCAGGGGGATAAGATAACTGGATGCACTGCTCTGTCTCCAACTCAAGTTAGACTTTAATCTGGGTTTTGTATGAACACAATCTGACCATAAAAACTGACTTAACACAACAACTGATGAGCTAATTTGTGCTATTAAAATCAGAATTAAGAATGCACCAATCTGATACTGGTTATCGATATCAGTGGCGATACTCAAAAATGATCCGATACTGGCCTCCAAATATCCATTCCGTCGATATCCTGGTTGGACATATAATTTGATGTAATATAATAATATTTACTAGTTGGCCCAGGAAGTCTCATAATGTTTGAATTTTATTTACACTAAGCAGTTCAATAGTTATTTGTGGAATAAATGACAGCTACATAATACATTTAGTTTTGTTTTATGTTTATCTAGTTTAAATAAAATATATGCTCTGCACTGGTATCAATTTCATATTGGGGATCGATGGATACTTAAAACTATAGTCGGAAGTGAAAAGGCTGATCAATCCATCAATCTGTAATAATCACCCTTTCAGCCCAGCCTCCATCATCCATTGCCATTATGCATCAATAGCCATCATGACATATATTGCTGTATCAGTATGTTTTTGTGTATAGCCCTACCTGACTTTAATCTCAGTTCAGTCCTGGCCATAGACTGTATCAGATGGACATCTGTTACCCGCAAGCCCCCACATTCCAAATAGGTATATTTTCATATCACTTTCTATTGCTGCTTTCTATTCCTGCTGTTGTCAGGATGAGCCAGAAGTTGTTATTCTGCTATTGGTCCCTAAATCAAGATATTAATATTAATAACAGACAAATCAGGTGCCCCGTTTCCCCCGACATCACTCCTGCTAGCATTAGCAACAGGTTTGATGGACAGTTCCATTGATGGAGCTTTGCTCCAAATTAGCACCATTGACACTAGCTTTGATTGGCTTCATTTGGCTTTAGGTGAAAGCTATGAGTGACATCACACTCTCTCAAGTCCACTTCTTCAGTCTGTGGTCCTTGTTTTGTCACGTGTGGATGTGCTGTGTCTTTTTGTTTCAGGTCAGGGCCAGAGAGGATGTTCAAGAAAGAACCTGAGTGGACCTGGACTCAGACAGGTTCAGATGAAGTCTGGACTTGGACAAGTTCAGATGTGAGCTCCTTTACATTTTTGTAAATACAGAATAACTTGAATGATCATGCAACAGTTTTGTTCAATTTCTTCATGCCATACAACTGTACAACAGCTCACCCTTATGTAACAGATAATACTCCCTACAACTGTACAACAACTCACCCTTATGTAACAGATAATACTCCCTACAACTGTACAACAACTCACCCTTATGTAACAGATAATACTCCCTACAACTGTACAACAACTCACCTTATGTAACAGATAATACTCCCTACAACTGTACAACAACTCACCTTATGTAACAGATAATACTCCCTACAACTGTACAACAACTCACCCTTATGTAACAGATAATACTCCCTACAACTGTACAACAACTCACCCTTATGTAACAGATAATACTCCCTACAACTGTACAACAACTCACCTTATGTAACAGATAATACTCCCTACAACTGTACAACAACTCACCCTTATGTAACAGATAATACTCCCTACAACTGTACAACTCACCCTTATGTAACAGATAATACTCCCTACAACTGTACAACAACTCACCCTTATGTAACAGATAATACTCCCTACAACTGTACAACAACTCACCCTTATGTAACAGATAATACTCCCTACAACTGTACAACAACTCACCCTTATGTAACAGATAATACTCCCTACAACTGTACAACAACTCACCCTTATGTAACAGATAATACTCCTACAACTGTACAACAACTCACCCTTATGTAACAGATAATACTCCCTACAACTGTACAACAACTCACCCTTATGTAACAGATAATACTCCCTACAACTGTACAACAACTCACCCTTATGTAACAGATAATACTCCCTACAACTGTACAACACTCACCCTTATGTAACAGATAATACTCCCTACAACTGTACAACAACACCCTTATGTAACAGATAATACTCCCTACAACTGTACAACAACTCACCCTTATGTAACAGATAATACTCCCTACAACTGTACAACAACTCACCCTTATGTAACAGATAATACTCCCTACAACTGTACAACAACTCACCCTTATGTAACAGATAATACTCCCTACAACTGTACAACAACTCACCCTTATGTAACAGATAATACTCCCTACAACTGTACAACAACTCACCCTTATGTAACAGATAATACTCCCTACAACTGTACAACAACTCACCCTTATGTAACAGATAATACTCCCTACAACTGTACAACAACTCACCCTTATAACAGATAACCCTATGTCCTGTCAATCATATCATGTCTTCCTTATGACCTCTTGTATATAGCTGAGATTTTTTATTACATATTTTTCAATTTTATTTTAACTTGTACATATACATTTATATAATTATGTCTTATTTCACATCCATCTCTTGCTACTTATTTAGAATGTATTATTACCATTTATATATTTTTTTACTCTATGTTAATATATTATATTGTGATGTGTGAGATACTGTGTCCAAATAATTTCCCTTGTGGATCAATAATGTTTGTCTAAGTCTTCAGTTCTATTGTTTAATTGCACTTTTTAATAATCATTTATTTGAAGCATGATGGTTGCTCCACCAGAAAAGTTACGCAGTGACTTTAAGTACAGCACTTTACTACGATATATTCCACCACTGGCCATGTGACCCAGCAGTACCAGGTGTGCTTGTGCAGGTGCAGTACAAAAGCAGTGTGACTGCGCCCTAAGACCACTCCTCTTCTCTATGGTTGGTCTCTTCTCTTACCTGGTGCGGAGCGACCGTCTTAGCCACCTCGCCCGTCTCCATGGCAGCGCTGTAGGCTTGGTAAAAGGACTGACGAGGCGAGTCTACTGTGATGGTGAGCACGGCATCATAGGCTCTCAGCAGTTTGGCGTTTTTCTTCAGCGCTGGGTAGGTAACGTTCTGGTACGGCAGACTGTACAGCAAAGTGTCATAGGGGATGAAGACCAGGGACCCGTCAATCATCTGGAGGTCATAGGTTGCTTCCAGAACACGCCGCTGTAGGTCACCGCCGAGCAGAGCTGAGTGCATGCACAGAAGCACCACTACCAAGGAGAAGAAGAAGTCAGCTTAAAGTGCCTATGACAAATTTTTTAATTCTCTCATTTTTAAATATACTAAATATTACAGGAAGTTGAGAGCTCAGATAGACTGATGACATCACTACACACAGTGTCCAAATGACTGATATTTAGCACATATAGCACATTTTACATGTAAGATATTTTTTCTGACACTTTAAACATGATTTCAACAAATGTGTTTTCTCATACTTGTATTTGTCAGATAATAATTTCAGTCCACATCAGAAGAGTTTTGACCCAGTGTAATATATGGTTGCTAGGTAACAGTTATGGCATTTCCCAGTGTGATGTCACGATTTTCAACCAATCCTTTTTCTTACGATCCATTGTAAGGATTTAAAGGTGCATTGTGTAACTTTCACAGTATGGTATTAAACCTTTCTATCTCCAAGGAGACCAAACCAGGCCAAGTTACAGGTCAGATCAGTGAAGTGGCGCCCCTCACAGTCAGAATGTCAAACAGGTGACAGAACCTCCACCAGAAAAATTACGTCACCTTTAAGTATAGAGGACATTTCTGATTAGTAAGTAAGTAAATAGTAAGTAAATAAGTAAACAAAGGGAGAAATATTCTAAAATAAAATAAAATCAGTAGTCTAACCTTTCACCTGTCATTTTGACATATATAAATACTTGGCCTATCCATATGAAACAAAAACAAACACAAAGTTCAGTCTGTTCTATCACAAAGTTCAGAGTCCTCTCTGTCAGGACTGAAATCAGCAGTTTGTGTTTATGCAGAGTGTGTTAACTCTATGGGAAAAATGCTTTCTGAGCTGCAGAGGCATTTTTGCTGCAGTACTGTGGAGTAGCCACGAGTCCAAACTCACAACAGGTTTACAGTAGCATAACACTATTGAAGTAATATAACTATAATTCAACCCTGACATGTTTGGACTAACCTCGGATCTCTTTCATCTTCCTGATTTTTCCCAGAGTTCTCCTGATGCTGTGAGGAGTGTCCTCCATAAAACTGACCAGTCTGACGGGCAGCCCATGGCCCCTCAGGGAGTCCGCCACCTGCAGCAGTACAGCAGTGCTCGTATCAAACTTTACAAAACTTTACAAAGACCTCGCCACTTTTGGGCATGATTGACAGGCTTATTAACCAATCAGAGAAGTGCATGGTTTTAAATATAAAGTATACCTTATTGTGTCCAAATAATGGCTTATTGATACTTTACAGCTGATGTTTTACAACATTTCCTGAGGGTGTGATGCTAACTGTAGACACTGCTCTGTCTGAAGCTCTGTTACTAAAATTAGACTTTAATCTGAGATTTGTTTTAACACAATCTGACCAGAAAGTGCTGACTTAGCTCGAACTACAACAGGAGAGCTGATTTGTGCTGATAAACAAGTCCCTCATGCATAAAATTACAGTTACGAGCATTAGCCAACATTTTTTATTATTCACACACACTTTTTTGTATTTTATATTTTATTTTGTTCTATTTTTGAGACAATCTATTTTGCATTTTCAGACAATCTTAAAAACTTTGATCTATGATTGCCAATGTGACACCGTGGTAAGCATCATTCCGCCAATGGAGATATGCATAGAACCCCCCCAGTGCGATGTCACTGTCGTATCAACAGATATTTTTTTCTGAATATTGTGACAATATTCAAGCGAGACTGTACTTCAAGTAACATTAAGTATCCAAAGAAACAAATAAAATAACAAAGTGTAAAAATGTTGAACCTTTGTGGCAGTCTCAATCCAGATGTCTTCAGAGGAGGACAGTACGGCGACGTGGGCCCATCTGAAGTAGGACAGCACCCGTAGAAGCACCCACGTGGGGCGGGGCATGGAGCGGGCGAGGGTGGGGTGGTTCCGGAGATCATCCAGATCATCTCCCACACAGCCCCATGGGAACAGCGCCTGAGAGAAACCTCACAGTTTAATACAAGACAGAGGGGAACGCTACTGATACTTTACAGTGACATCACGCTCAGGATGTTCCACATGTATCTCTATTGGGGGAATGTTCAGCCGTTACCATGGCTGTTAAAAATGTTTTAGTATAGTCTAAAAAAGACAAAATACAGAGGGGGCTAGAGTCAACTCACAGTTTAACACAAAGGACAGAGGGGGCTATTTTGCTGTCAAGTCCCTCTTAAATAACATTAAGCTCATAAGGTAGCATGTGTTGTTTCAATCAATTTACTATTCTTTACTTGGGCTTTCAGTAGGGATGGAGTGGGATAGAATTTCCCCAAGACAAGAAGAGATACGAGATTGGGTCCATGAGAATGAGATTAATGCAAGGAACATCTGTTTGTGTCTCCTCCTGTTGGTTTGTTGGTTTGTTTATAAGTTTGTTTGTCTGTTCTACACGCATAAACGCTCAAACCACTCGTCCGACTGATCTCAAATTTGGAGGGTGTCATCCTAAAGGTACAGGTGTCTCCTCTGCAAAGTTTCATGTTCTTTGGGGAAAAAATGCCAAAGATCTGATAAGTCTTAATATATAGATTTCACAGTTCAGTTTCCAATTTTGGCCTCACAATTTTTTTATTTATTTGTTTTCATAGTTTTGTTTCCATTCTAGTCCTGCTTTTTGGAACTTTAAGAGATGTAACTCACCAGTACGTAGTTCTTTTTGTCCAGTCCAAACATAAACACTTGGGGGAAAAAAAGTCTCACAGGATCATTTTTCTCTTGTGTGCACGATCTTGTGGTAAATTTGTCTCATGAGATTTTGTGGCACGGTATCCCTAGTTTTTAGACTTCAGACTTTTTGGTCAGTGGTTGCTAATGTGTGTCACCATGGTAACTGCTGAACAACCACCAACACTGTAGAGATACAAGCAGAGCACCCCCAGCATGATGCCACTGCAAATTTGATTGTGAAGCTCTTCGTGTCCCGACCTTGTTCCACCCTTTGCTGATCATGGACGCGCTGTCACAGACTCCGGGGTTGGCTGGTCCAGTGAACGCTGAAGCTTTAGTGTGGAACCCCAGGAACGTCTCGAGACCCCGAGAAGACTCACACGGCTCCTGAAAAAGACCACAGACCAGGGCTAAACCAGGACTGAACCAGGACTAAACCAGGACTAAACCAGGACTAAACCAGGACTGACTGAACCAGGACTAAACCAGGACTGAAACCAGGACTAAACCAGGACTAAACCAGGACTGAGTCAGGACTGAACCAGGACTGAACCAGGACTAAACCAGGACTAAACCAGGACTGAAAGGACTGAACCAGGACTAAACCAGGACTGAACCAGGACTGAACCAGGACTGAACCAGGAACCAGGACTGAACCAGGACTAAACCAGGACTAAACCAGTACTGAACCAGGACTGAACCAGGACTGAAACCAGGACTAAACCAGGACTAAACCAGGACTAAACCAGGACTGAACCAGGACTGAACCAGGACTAAACCAGGACTGAACCAGGACTAAACCAGGACTAAACCAGGACTGAGCCAGGACTGAACCAGGACTAAACCAGGACTAAACCAGGACTGAGCCAGGAAACCAGGACTAAACCAGGACTGAGCCAGGACTGAAGGACTGAACCAGGACTGAACCAGGACTAAACCAGGACTGAACCAGGACTGAACCAGGACTAAACCAGGACTAAACCAGGACTGAACCAGGACTGACTAAACCAGGACTAAACCAGGACTAAACCAGGACTGAACCAGGACTGAACCAGGACTAAACCAGGACTAAACCAGGACTGAGCCAGGACTGAACCAGGACTGAACCAGGACTGAACCAGGACTAAACCAGGACTACAGGACTAGGAAACCAGGACTGAACTGAACCAGGACTAAACCAGGACTGGACTCAGGACTTAAACCAGGACTAAACCAGGACTAAACCAGGACTAAACCAGGACTAGAACCAGGACTAAACCAGGACTAAAACCAGGACTGACCAGGACTAAACCAGGACTGAACCAGGACTAAACCAGGACTGAGCCAGGATTGAACCAGGACTAAACCAGGACTAAACCAGGACTAAACCAGGACTAAACCAGGACTGAACCAGGACTGAACCTGTGCTGAACCAGTGCTGAACTAAGACTGATCCAGGACTAAAGCTGGTCAACTAAACCAGGACTACAGCAAGAATAAACCCGGACTGAACCAGGTTTAAACCAGGTCTAAACCAGAAGTAAATCAGAACTAAACTCGGACTAACCCTAGCCTAAACAGACCCAAATAATTTCCCTTGTGGAACAAAGTTTGTCTAAATCTAAACCAGGACTAAAGTAGGACTAACCAGGACTAAATCAGAACTAAACCCAGTCTAAGCCAGGACTAAACCAGAGCTAAACCAGATCTAAACCAGGTCTTTGTTCACCTGCAGTACGGTGAACTCAAAGGTGTGTGCGTGGGAGAGGGCGGGGTCTCTGTTGACGCGGTTGATGGCGAGCTGGGCGGCCACGTGAGGCAGAGCTTTGGCGAACAGCGGGTCGCAGCTCCACGGTCCCACCACGCCCACCCGGAACCCTGCGCCCTCTGCTGGACGGGCCAGACACAGCACAGAGGCGAGCAGAGGCAGGGGCAGGACCAGCAGGGGGCGCATCTCCATGTCCCGCACACACGCTCAGAACGACATGGTCCAAACGTCATGGGGTCCTGTTGGTGGATTTCAGATGACATCACAACATTCTATAAGTCAAAATAATTCACTACAGATGGGAGGAGCTAAAATTAATGTTGTTAAAATGACTGTACAGTTTGCCATGGTTGTGGTTGGCTGCTCTTGTGGCTGACTAGCTTGCACGCTGAGCAGTTTTTAAGTAGTGGGTGTTATAGGGTGGGTATTTTACACTATTATGCACTTTTATTATACTATACAGTTGTGGGGATGCTCTATCATCATTTTGTTGTGATTTTATATGACAATGACAATAAAAGAATTGAATAGAATTGAAAAACTGAATTAAACGTTTAACATTTTTATCTTATTTTTAACTAAATATCTGGGGATTTAATACTAACTGAGAACAGCTTGTGCAGTTCAAAAAGACAGAAATTAAGGACAATTGTGCTGGATTTGAAAATGTTTTGAAAAAATCTTCAAGTAAAAGTATTAAAGTACCTGTTTAAAAATGTACTTCAAGAGTAAAAAGTAAAAGTATGTAGAGACTTTTGATAAAGATTTGTGCTGAATTTTGTAGAATAGAAACAATTGAGTCTATTATTTTTTATGTTTTGTATACACAGCCTTTTCAGCAGGTCTTAAACAAGAATAAAAAATCTATTTGCTTTTCAGTCCTGTTCAAAAATGCAGTGGAGTAGCAAGTACAGATACCTGCTCTCAGATGTCGTGAAACAAAAATAAAAAGTATCCACTTCAAAAACGTACAGATACTGAAACAGATACAGTTACAGTACTTTGTTCCACCACTGTCACAAAGAAATTAATTTTGGAATAATAGTCCAGTGTCCTCTTACCTCATCAGGATCAGACAGAGCAGTCCCTCCAGCTCACATCTTTTGGACCAAATCACGCAGACTTGTTAGAATTAAATATGACGAGTTAAAACTAAAAGGCTTCACTGTAGCAGGACACTGAGCTTATAGTTATTCCACTGAGCTCCGCTGTCAGCTCCCATTAAACCACAGCCAATCACACACTGGACTTTAAGCCGGGATAAATCAGACTTATAATAGTGTAATAGTGTCAGGTGTGCAGACGGGGAGGGCATCTGGAACACGGGGAGGGCATCTGGACCACGAGGAGAGCATCTGGAACACGAGGAGGGCATCTTGCATACAGGGAGGGCATCTGGCACACAGCACATTTCAGAACATGTTAATAGATGTCTACTCTACAGGGTTATAGCAGCTTTAACACAAAATAAGAACCTATGGAGACACAGAGAGGGCATCTGGCATACATGGTGATTGAGAGTCAGGAGATTATCTAAAAAACTATCATTTTGACCATACTATTTGTATTTTTATTCATATCGTTCAATATGTTGTGATTAATAGCCATGTGCAGTGTCAGGTTGTAACAGGCAGAGGGCAGTAGTGTAAAGGCTCCAGTGTAGTAACAGTCTCACCAGCAACAGTCAACTCCAAATTCTCCCCTATAACTTCTCACCTCAGTGACCTTAGTCCATTTCTTTATACAGTCTGTTACTTTTACTCCTACTTTAGTGATATTTTGAAGTAATATTGAAGTAACAGTACTCTGGTGGTCCCTCATCCCACTGGGAGTAAGTCTAAAGCAGGGGTCTCTACCTGTAGCTTAGGAGCTACCAGTAACTCTCCACCCCCTTCCAAGTAGCTCGCCAAGGGATTTCTGAATTATACACCATCGTGCTGAATAACAAAAAAGTGGTTACCGTATTTTTCAGACTATAAGTCGCTCTGGAGTATAAGTCGCACCAGCCAAAAAATGTGTAAATTTATTTGATAAAATCAGGAACCAGGAACTGACATTTTATCTTGAAAGGCAAGTTTTAGTAATAACAATAGAACAACAGGCTGAATAGGTGTCAATATGTTAACATAACATATGAACAGTTATTCAGATAATTATAGCATAAACAACAGAACATAAATTTACCAAACTCACAATCTCACTCTAAATCACCAGATCCATTGAATCCGTTGAATTCTTCATCCTCAGTTTCACTTCTGAACAACTCCGCATAACTTCAGTTGTCACTGAAGTCCAGGCTTTGTCATCAGTGACTTCCAGGAAAGTTGCATGGTGCACCCTTCCTGTTACCGTGAAGTTGTGTTCTCCATCCCTGCTTTCTGCCAGTCCCTCACAAGTTTCTCGCTCACTCCAAACTTTCTCTCTGCTGTTCGATTACCGTTTTCTGCAGCATATTTCATTATTTGCATCAGGACAATGCTTTTTCTGCAGGAGATGTGTGTAGAAAACTAATACACAAGCTTAGAGCGCCCTCTTGTGGCTGTCAGTCTGAAAATTTTAATATATAAGTCGCAAGGGAGTATAAGTCGCAGGACCAACCAAACCAAGAAAAATGGGCGACTTATAGTGGAAAAAATATGGTAATTACATGCCTATTCAAAAGTGAAACTGACGCCTTAAAATGATGGATCGATGTGATTGGTCGGATTCCTCTTATTTGCAGCAGTAGTTATCTGAAATACTTGTGTGATTGCTTTGTCTGGAATGTTGCACAGTATGGCATTAGATGTAACTATCTTGCATATTTGTGTTTAAATGTTGTTACTCAAAGTTTCCACACTACCTAAAAGAGTTTTTGATTCCATTTAGACAGTGTTGGGGAGTAACAGATTACATGTACCGGAGTTACGTAATCAGAGTACAAATTATGAGTAACTGTATTCAGTTACAGTTACTGGTTCAATGAGAGGTAATTGGATTACAGTTACTTTGTTGAAATACACGGTGGTATTTTCCTGTTTTCACATTTTGGGCTAAACCAGGACTAAAACCAGGACTAAAACCAGGACTAAACTAGGACTAAACCAGGACTTAACTAGGACTAAACCAGGACTTAACTAGGACTAAACCAGGACTAAAACCAGGACTAAACTAGGACTTAAGTAGGACTAAACCAGGACTAAACCAGGACTTAACTAGGACTAAACCAGGACTAAAACCAGGACTAAACCAGGACTAAACTAGGACTAAACCAGGACTTAACTAGGACTAAACCAGGACTAAAACCAGGACTAAACCAGGACTAAACTAGGACTAAACCAGGACTAAACTAGGACTAAACCAGGACTAAACCAGGACTAAACTAGGACTAAACCAGGACTAAACTAGGACTAAACCAGGACTAAACCAGGTCTAAACAATATGACACTAACAGTAGGTGGACATAATTTCAAGCAGCAGTGATCTCATATAGAAATCATTTCTCTATCAATAATATTTTAGTCATCTTTTAGCAGATAAAACAAACAGTTACCTGTTCATGGAGACTTGGGCTCAACAGACAATTTGAAAAGAACAAACAAGAATTTTCAGGATGTGGTTGGTACATTCATGTAGTTTTAAAAAGCATGACAATATTTATGTAATCTGTAGGGGAATACATTTTAAAAGTAACCTTCTCAACACTGCATTTAGACCATCATATAATTTACGTCACACTGAACAACTATTTTTGAATGTTCCTAAATTAAAAAAAGAAATTGGCCGCAGAGCATTTAATTTCAAAGCTCCAAATAAATGGAACAACTTCCCCTCCTCAACCCGATCAATCACATCGATCCACCATTTTAAGGAGTCAGTCTTCAGATACTTACAAACAACCTGCTCCTGTTTTCCATAAAAATTAATTTTTGTTCTATGTACTTTCTCTCGTACATAGAGTTGCTTTTTTTCTTCACAAATTTACAAATATAGGTGTGGTGATGATAAAATCAGAGACATGTATATCTTAGGATCCTGGATTGTACAGTGTGAATGTTGTCTTTGTGTTTTGTTTGTCTTTTGTTCTGTTTTGATTATTATTATTATTTTTTCTTTCTTGGATGAAATTAATGCCATACTGCGAAACCACCCACGCAAAGGCATAACATCTTAACACATCTAACCGTCTCTGACCTCCAGCTACCGTCCGAGCCCGATTTGAACTGCCCCCTCCTCAGCTGTTGTCCGTGCGCCCTCTGCTGGTCAGACATCGCCCCGTTTGTCTTGTGAGTAAACAGTTAAAGTTTGAGTTTCTATTTTTGGAGGAAGTGTCCCACGAGACGAGTAATTCACTGTCCACTTCCTGTGTCCAGTGTCCAGACCTCTGCCTCTGCCCCCTCTCCTCCTCCATCTCTCCCCCATCTCTCTCTTTCAGACCCCCCATGGCTACTCTCTCTTTCTTTTTCTATCTGTTTCTTTGCTCTCTCTCCCTCCTCTTTTTCTGCTCCACTCTCTCCTTTCTCTCTCCACTCTCTCCTCCACCTCTCTTTCTCTCTCTCTCCTCTATCTGTCTCTCCACTTCCTGTGTCTTGGCCCAAACTTAATGAATTTGTGTCTCTGTTTCCTTCGTTTCCTCCCTCACTCACGTTTCTGTCAGCAGCTTTTTTCTTAAGTTTTGTGATATTTCCTTTTTTTTTAATTTTAAATTTAATTTTTTTCATTAATTTGGTTTTAGTTTTGTTTTTGAGAGAGGAGAGAGAAAGAGAGAGGATGGATAGAAAGGGGAGACATAGAAAGAGCAAAAGAGAAAAAAAGAGGAGGGGGAAGAAAGAGGGATTCGAGAGACGAGGAGAGAGGAGAGAGAAAGGGAAAGAGATGGAGAAGGGAGAAGAGAGAAAGGGAAAAAGAGAGGAGGGGGAAGAAAAAGGGAGAGGAGAGGATGAAAAGAAAGAGAGGAGAGAAATGAGGAGGAAAGAGCGAGAGAGCAAAGAAAGAAAGTGAAGGACGAAAGAGAGGATAGTGGGTAGCGGGAGTAAGAGAGGTCATGAGAACAGTGACTCACGCTGAACATAAACACAGAGACGATGGAGAAACACTGAGGACATTTTGTTTGGGGGCCCTTGGAGAGAGCAGAGTCAGGGGCCAAAAAATAAACCTGAGATTCAGATCAATGGAAGGCCCCAGCTTTATTAAATATATATATATATATATAT